CCAGGGTGAGGCCTGGGCCCCGGGGTGGGGTGGTGGGCGGTGTCCCGCCAAGGTGGGTCCGGGCGGTAGGTGAGGGACACGCACTTCTCAGGAACTGAGACCTCCTCCCTCTCCCGGGGGCCAGGCCGGGCACGGTGGCCCCGTGTGAGGGCACCCGTCTTGCCAAGAGGGCTCCCCCGAAGCGAGGGCGGACATGGGTGTGTTTCTGGGGTGGGCCCAGAGTCGCTCCGTGAGAAGAAGCATCCTCAGGATTCCTTCGTCCATCAGGGCCTGAGTCGGGGCCACAGCCTGGGTGTCCCTGAAGAAATGGGCCTGATGGTTCCCGGCCTGGTTCTAGGCTCCGTGCACTGTGGGGCCTGGAGCCGGCTGTGCTGGGGGGTGAGGTCGCAACCCGGGAACGCACCCCAGCGCCCGGAGCTGCGTCTGCCGACAGGGAGAACAGTGCCGGCTTCCTTCTGCCCCAAGGGCTGGAGACGGGGAGCCTGGCGTGGACACTGGGCTGGGGGCTGGGGGGCAGGGCTGAGGCCCCGTGAGCAGTGGCTGGCTCCCGGCCCCCGGGCTCCCGGCGCGGCTGCAGGAAGGCGCCCGGGAACAGTTCACTTTTCTGGTCCCACTTCAGTGCAGGCGTCCAGAAATAGATTCTTCTCCGGCTGGAACGTGCCCAGGGGCGGGGCCCGGCGATGCCCTGGCCCCAGACCAACAGGGTCTCCTGTGGCGGCACGGGGAGGCCGTTATCTCCAGAATCGGAATAGGAGAGTTCAACCCAGAAGTGTCAAGCCCGTGTCCGGGATGGCTGCGGGGGCTGATGGGTCTGGCCGGGGGGGGGAGGTGGCGGAAAGAGCCAATGAGGACCCAGCAGGAGGCGGGTCGGGGCTGGGCTCCCTGAACCCTGTCCCAATGTGCTGAAAGCCGGGGACTGCACCTTCCCAGGGACCTGCACAAGGAACTGTGTCTGGGGCCAGAGTGATAGTGCAGAGGGGAGGGCGTTTGCCTTGCACGGAGCTGACCGGGTACGATTCCCGGCATCCCATAGGGTCCCCTGAGCACCACCAGGAGTCATTCCTGAGTGCAGGGTCAGGAGGAACCCCTGAGCATTGCCGATTGTGATCCAAAAAGCCAAAAAATCAAATTAAATGAAAAAAAAAAAAAACCCACCCCACAACAGTGTCTTACTTATTTTGGCAGAGCTCTGGGATCAGTCCTGGCTCTGTGCTTGGGGATCGCTGGGGGAGGGGGGGGTGCTCAGGGGACCATGTGGGGTGCCAGGGATTGAACCCACTTCCCTAGAGCTCTGGCCCAAGGGGCAGCGTTTGGCCTCGGGAGCCGGGCGGAGGGAGTGAGCTGCAGTCTTAGCTTCGGAAACAGGAAAGGGCTGCCTTGGCCACCAGCCGAATGAACGCCCGGGGGGGACCCAGAACGTCTCTGAGAAGTGGGAACATCCTCTTCTCTCTCATCCTTCGTTTCCTCCTGGATGTCAGCTGCGGGCCAGGGGCCTCTCCCTGGTCACCTGCCGCCTGGCCACCGGACAGCTCGGCGGTGCTCTGGGCCACCGAGGCCGCCTGGGCAGACAAAGGGAGCCCACGCGGGGGGCCAGCGCCAGACGCCTGGGAACGGGCGGTGCTCGGGGGTGGGGGGGGGCCCGCCACGGGAGCCAGACGCAGAAGGCCACGTGCCCGGCAAGCCACAGGCGCCGTCAGAGTAAGGAAACCCAGCCACGGGGAGAGGGCACGCGGCCATCTGACGGCGAGAACATGCTGGAACCGGGAGAGGCCCGGTGGTAGCAGGCTGTGGACGCAGGGACGCCAATGCCACTGGGCGGCCCCTGCTGAACACTTTGCTCTCAGCTTCCCGAATTTCCCCTGGTGAACAAATAAACTCCACCCAGGGAGTGGAGCCGGGCAGGGCTCTGGACCACATGAGGTGGCCCCTCCCCCGAACGGCCGGGGCCAAGGGTGACAGCAGCCAGTGAGGTGCACACGTGGGGGGTGTCTCATGGATCAGGCAGGCTGGGAAGGGCCGGTCCTACACCGTGGGGGCCCGTGAGACAGCAGAAAAGAGGGGCGGGGCCGTGCCCACACCTCGGCTCAGGTCACTGGCGACCATCAGGAGAGTGCGTGAGTGTCCCCCCACCTGTCTTCACTCTGTGCCTCCCGGCCTGGGGGGCCCTAAGTCCTCCTGTGAGGGGCGACCTGCCTCGTGGCCCCACAGAGCGAGTCCCCTGCCCTGGCCCCCAGGGGATCCTCTGGTCTGCCTGGTGCTCAGATGCGGGAAGGTGCCAGCGTCTCTCCGCTCGCTGGGGGGGGGCGGGTCTGGGCCCCAAGACGGGAACAAGGGGACAGACGGACCTGCCCTGCTTCCCTGCAGTTCTCCAGTGGCGGGAATGACGGTCGGGAGGAAGGGCAGGGGGGTTCTCAAAGGGGGCTCTGGGGAACCCCGGGGGCGTCCAGAGTGGACGCGATCACAAGGGTGTTTCCCTTGTCTGTCGGCTGTCCTGGGAGTGTGGACGGACCTCCGGAGGCCACGCGACCACAGGGCTGGGTGCAGAGTGGATGGGCAGCCTGGGGTCCCGCGCGGGGGCGGGCAGGGACACGGGCGGGGGGGACATGGGTGGGGACGCAGAGCCCCTTCCCCCACCCCGAGCGGCTTCGGCATTTGCGTGCAGGGAGCGGGCGTCCCGGCCCCTTGAATGAACGACCAGGAGAAGCGCGCGTCTGCTGCCAGAAGCTTCCGCAGATGTGATCTAGAGGACGCGGGGAGGGGGACTGGGAGGCCCGTCTTGGGGGGGCAGGGGCAGAGCAGGTGTGGCTGCGGGGTCTGCATGCCATCAACCGAGGGGCAGCGGGAGGAGCCGGGGGCCTGGGGGGACACGTCGCACCCAGCTCTGCTGGGTGTCCTAGAAAGATCCTCCTGGCTGGGCGGCAGGGAGGGACCCACGGCCCGGGGCTTGGGGCGGGGAGTCGTCTGGGGGTCCAGCGGGGGCAGGGAGCGAGAGGGCAGGAGGCCCCCAACCCTCTCCCCTGGCTGAGACCCTCGAGGTGGCCCCTCGGCCGAGGTGGGAGGGCAGAGGCCTCCGTGAGATATATGTGCCATGGTGGGGGGGTACTTGCAGGGGTGGTCAGGGGGGAGGCCCCGCCAAGGGCGGCTGCCCGGCTCCCGGCCAGCTCCCAGCAGGCCCGGCCTCGCCGCCCACTGTGCCGCCCTCCCTGCCCGCTGTCCTGAGGGTCCCTGCCCCGCCCCCCAGGCTGCACCGCGGAGAAGTCCCTAGAAAGCGCCAACATAGAAGGAGCATGCGTGTGGGAGGAATGTGACATCCGCAGCCCAGCCGGGTTTATTTACACACCGGGTGCCAGAAAGGGCCGAGCCTGGAGCAGAAGCCGCCCCCTCCCCCCTGGCTCGGCACCTTAACCCCTACGCTCCCGCAGCCCTGGAGACAAGCCTACTGGGCCGGCCTTGGCTAGCGAGACCACAAGCCCGGTTTTCCCAGGCGCCTCGCCTCGCAGACGAGGTTTTCGTTTTTTTGAGTATTTGTGGTTCACACCCGCCGATCTCGGGGGCTACTCCTGGCTCTGGGTGGTGGTCGGGGGTGGGGACCGTAATGGATGCTGGAGGGGAACCCAGGGGGGCTGCAGGCAAGGCAAGAGCCCTCCTGGCTGGACTACGGCTCCAGCCCCAGGGGTGAGCGTTTGAACGGAGGGGCCTGCCGGAGCATCTCACGGGTCCTGGGCACGAGGCCAAGGGCAAGGTCGGGGTGCGGAGAGGCCGGGGCGGCCCGGGGAGGGTGGACACAGACACGCCGCAGCCCGCGCGCCACACGGACAGACCCTTCTGGAAGGACACGGCGGAGGCGATGCCCTGGAGACCCAGGCCCGAGCAGGCTGCGGCCTCACGCACACGCGGGTCCAAGTCCCTCGCCACATGGCCTCGGGGCACACGGCCACCCTCCCCTTCCCTCTCCCCCTCTCTGCACCCCCAGGTCACTCTGAGGCACACAGCAGCCTGCAGACCTGCACCAGTGGGTGCCCGGGGACCCTGCGGTAGGGGGGATGGGGCCGGGGTCGGCCATGTGCAAGGCGGGCACTTCCCGGCTCTCCATCCCCCCACCTGGGCTTCTTTGTTTCGTTCTGGGGCCACACCCGGAGGTGCTCAAGGCTGACTCGGGGTGGGGTCCGGGAGCCCCTACGGGATGCTGGGGATCAAGTCCTGGTTCCCTGTGTGCGGGGGCCAGGGCCCTCCCAGCTGGACCACTGCTCCGGCCCCCTCCCCCGCCCACTGGGGTTTTAAGCCACACGCCTCAGTCCGTGTGTTTCTAAAACAAACCAGGCAGCTTGAGTGACCGCGGGGCAGGGGGTGGGGGCCTGCTTCCCACCACAGCCGCGTCAAGTGCCAAGAGACGGTGAGGCTGGACGGGTCAGCGGGGGCTTTCCTGAGTCTCGTCACCCAGGGGAAGGCTGGTCCAGGGCCGGGCGCCTGCCTCCCTCCTCGAGGCATCCGACTTTCCTGTCCGGCTTCTCCCTGGGAACTGGAGGAGCCGGGAGGAGCCTCGGTGGGGGCGCGGCCGCTGCCCGGGACCCCGAGGCCGCACCTCTCCCGGGCCTCCTTGAGGAACCACACACACGCGCGCTTTCCAGTCAGTTCACAGGGAGGAGGAAATCGGAGGAAATCGCTCTCCCCACAACCACATTACTGATGATCTTACTATTTCCAAGAAATTTCCAAGAAGTTTCTGAGTCTCCCTTCTGAGAAAACGCTCCCACACCCCCAACAAGCCTCTGGAAAACCGAACCCAGGCGGCACGACACCAAAGGTTTCTTTCTGGGGCTGCGACGCGCCTCCCTCGGGGCGCAGCGGGATTCTAAGAACAGGGGTGGGTAGGGGGGCTTCAGGGGGCTCTGTGCAAGGCGGCCTCGGAGCAGGGAGATGCTCGCGCGGGGCCCCCTGCCTGCAGGAGGCAGCCCAGGTGCTCGCCTGCCGCTGGGAGCGTGTGCGGGCCGGGGGCTTACCTGGTACCTTGTCCACAGACGCAAACACCGAGCGCTGGACGGTGGGGTCGCTGCTGCCCCGGCGGCTCTGGTCATAGAAGCGGAAAGGCAGGTGCGACGAGGACGAGGAGCCGAGTCCGAAGCCCAGGACTTCCGTGGCGGGCTGGATCGGGAGGTCCAGGAGGGCTGCGGTCAAACAACACTGTGGTAGCTGCTCCCGCGTGGCATGGCACAGGCCACCAGACCCGCAGGACGTGGCACGTGGCACCAGACCCATGGGAGTGGCTGAGGTCCCCATGGCCACGGCCTGACCCTCACGGGCACGCTGCCTGGGACACGCCACAGAGGCAGCTGGGGACCCCAGTGAAACTCCCGAGATCCCGCCCGGGGCTCAGATGAGCACTGCTGCCGGGGGATCTCGGGAGCAGGTGGGGGCCAGCCCCTTCTCAGAGTCTTGGCTTCCACATACGACACACCAGATCCCAAGGCCCAGGGGGAGGCGGGGGGGCTGCCCAGCCCCTCAGATTCACAGAGAGACTCGCCCAGGAAGGGCGTGTGGGACCCCGCACACGCGCAGGGCGTGCAGACACCCTCCCCCTGCCCCCACCCCCTCGACCTTCCCGTCCACCCGCACACACACAAAAAACATCTCATGACAGAGCGACTTGGAGGGGCTTTTAAAATCAATTTAAGAGACACCCAAGCCACTCGTTCCCGCAGCCACTTGACAGCACGATTCTCAATTTTCCAATGAAATATTCAGCCTTCGCGCCAGCAGCGAGGAATCGCCTGGCGTTAAAAAAAGAAAAAAAAAAAAACCCTCCGAAAATAAATCTTCGGGGAAAGAACTGAATGATTTACGTCACTTTGCACATTACAAGCCGCTTCTGTAATGATTCTGCAGGCCAAGTTTCAGGCGAGCGAGTGATGAGCGGGCCTTGGGCGGTGGGCAGGAGACAGAATGAAACCGTCACCGACATGCAGGCGTGGCCCAGCGGGGGCTCATGACCAGCTGTCCCCGAGCTGCCCAAGATGGGACTCGTCCCCACCCCCCTCAGCCTGGTCCATGGTACTCAGGCCACAAGGATCCGGCGGTGCTCAGGGACCACACGGGGTGTTGGGGACTGAACCCGGGTCACCCGAGTGCCCGGCCAATGTCCTACCCACTGTGCGACCTCTCTGGCCCCCGCACCTCTGAGACACTGCTTCTCAGGAAGTGGATCCTCCTGGCCCGGGGCAACGCGGGGGGCTTCCTGCGAACTGCCCAGCGACCCCCATGCCTCAGAGTCCAGCTGGGTGGCCCCGGGGAGGGGCGAGCTGGGGCAGGAAGGTCAACGTGGCAGCCCCTTACTGGACACGCCCATGTGCAGTGGGACGGAACAGGCCCTCCTGACGTCTGGCGAAGGGGTGGACACGTGTCCGCCTGTGCGGCTCTGTGGCCCCCACGCTGTGCTGCCTCTCAGAAGCGTCGGCCCTGCCCTGCCTCCCGGCCGCTCTCTCCAGGAGAGGGATACTCCGGGCGGGCACTCGCCCTGCTGCCCGCGTTGGCCCGGGCCAAAGTGGAGGTGTGGGGGCCCTCGGAGCCGGCCCCCACGGGGGACCCCACCCACTCACTCACCCGCGATCCTCTGCATCTTCATGCGGCGCGCCTGGATGCGGCCCTTGGCCAGGCGCTGCTTGGCGATGATGCAGCGGATGTGGTCGGAGAAGACAAAGGTGGCCTGCAGGATGGGGAAGGGCCGGGAGTGCGGGCTGGAGGCCGGCTTATGGATGGTGATGTTCAGGGCCCGGCTGTCGTCCTCCACGCCCGTCACCTGCATGTCCTGCGGGAGGCAGAAGGCGGGAGCGTGTCCGGCGGGCTCAGGAGGAGGGGGCTGCTTGGAAGTGGGGGGACGCATGTCCATGTCCGGTCTTAGGAAAACAGGTCACACCAACCCCCACCACTACCAGATTCAACTACTTTTTTTTTTTTTTTTTGCTTTTTGGGTCACACCTGGCGATGCACAGGGTTTCCTCCTGGCTCTGCACTCAGGAATTATCCCTGGCGGTGCTCAGGGGACCATATGGGATGCTGGGAATCGAACCTGGGTCGGCCGCGTGCAAGGCAAACGCCCTACCCGCTGTGCTATCTCTCCAGCCCTTATTTAAATTATTTTATTTTTTTTTGCTTTTTGAGTCACACCCGGCAATGCTCAGGGGTTCCTCCTGGCTCTGCACTCAGGAATGACTCCTGGCGGTGCTCGGGGGACCATATGGGATGCTGGGAATCGAACCTGGGTCGGCCGTGTGCAAGGCAAACGCCCCACCCGCTGTGCTATCTCTCCGGCCCCTCAACTACGTTTTTGCTTGGTTTTGTTTTGGGGTCACACCCGGCGATGCTCAGGGGTGACTCCTGGCAGGCGTGGGGGGGACCCTCTGGGGTTCCGGGAGTCACACCTGGGTCAGTTGTGTGCGAGGGCAAGTGGCCTGCCCCTCGCGGTGCGCTGGCTCTGGCGGCCAGGCTAGCCCCAGCAGGAGACAGGGAGGAGCGTGGGAAGCAAGGAGTCCCCCTGGGCAGCCGACACTGACTGTGGGGGCCTGACGCCTACCCCAGGAGCATTTGTCAGCTGGAGAATAAAATTCACAGAAGCCAGGGGTAAGGCAACAGTCAACCCCCAAAGATTCTTTGTTGTTTTGGGGGCCACACCCGGCGATGTTCAGGGGTTACTCCTGGCTCGGCACTCCGGAATTGCTTCTGGCAGGCTTGGAGAGACCCCCTGGGATGCTGGGGCTCGAACCCGGGTCAGCCGTGTGCAAGGCACACAGCCTCCTCGATGTACGATCACTCCTGCCCCCGCCAACGATGATTCTTGATTCTAAGAATCAAGAGATAATGGGCCAAAACTCCTGGTGCCATCTGGCACGATCTTAGATCTAATCCCTTGGCTTCCTGTCTGGCCAGGGACAGCCTGCAGAGCTGCTGCACCCAGAGGGGCTGCCTCCCTTGAGGGCTGGAGGCGAGCGCCCCTGAGAACCAGCACCTTTCTGGCCTGAGCCGGAGGAGACGGGGAGGCTGGAGGGAAAAAAAAAGTCAAAAATACTCATGTGGAGCTGGAGAGATAGCACAGCGGGTGGGGCGTTTGTCTTGCACGCGGCCAACCCGGGTTCGACTCCCAGCATCCCATAGGGTCCCCTGAGCACCGCCAGGAGTAACTCCTGAGTGCAGAGCTAGGAGGAACCCCTGTGCATCGCCGGGTGTGATTCAAAAAGCAAAAAAAAAAAAAAATAATTTAAATAAGGGCTGGAGAGATAGCACAGCAGGTAAGGCATTTGCCTTGCACGCGGCCGACCCGGGTTCGATTCCCAGCATCCCATATGGTCCCGAGCACCGCCAGGAGTAACTCCTGAGTGCAGAGCCAGGAGGAACCCCTCTGCATCGCCGGGTGTGACCCAAAAAGCAAAAAAAAAAAAAAAAAAAGCTCATGCTAGGGCGGGCAGAGGGCAGAGTTTTTGCCTTGCACCCGGGCAACACGAGTTCGATTCCCAGCACCCCACAGGGTCTCCCGAGCACCGCCAGGAGTAATGGAGTGATTCCCGAGTGCAGAGCCAGGAGGAACCCCTGAGCATCACGAGGTATGACCACCCCCCAAAAAAAGCTCATGTTCTGGTGATCCCACTTGGCATGGGGTCTCTGCGTGAAAATGTGGCGGGGGGAACCGAGGGCCAGTTACACGTTTGGGCGGGAGCACTTGGCACACAGCGACAGACTGACAGATTGCAGCGGTTGGAAGACAACCAAGAAAAAAAATAAATAAATCAAGAGGTTTCTGTGGCTCTCACTGTCTGACAGGACACGCATTCATGTCTCCAGGGCGGAGAAACGCTTTTCTGACACCAGTGAGGCTTGAATCCTCCTAAAGGAAACGGATCAGCAGACTTGATGCAGGAGCAGCTGATCCCCGTGACGGGCGTCCCCTCCCCGTCTCGGGACGGGAGAATCCTGGCTGCCGCGTCCCTTCCCTCAGACTTGGCACAGGGCAGCTAGTGCCCAGAGCTGGGCAGCTCTCGAAAATGCGAACTTGAGCGGAGGAGAAAGAGCCGCAAAACAGCGTCTGCTGAAGCCTGGGGGGTCATTCTGGGGAACAGCGCATGTGCGTGTGAGTGTGTGTGTGTGTGCTGTGTGTGTATATGCGTGTTTTATGTGTGTGTGCATGTGTTTGTGTGTGCGCGCGTGTGCATACGTGTGCTGACATGCCCTTGGGGCGCTCGGGGACAGGTATGGCGGGGTTGTGGGCTGGAACCCTGAGCTGTCTACGCTTCCGGTCCTGTGAGCTGGCGCTAGTCACCATGAGGGCACAAGGAAAACCCCAGCCCCAAGCCGGCGTTTGGCACTTCAGAGCGGAGCAGGGCGAGGACAAGGGAAGCCTCACCAGCCGCCAACGCCAACAATCATTTTTCGAGAGGAATTTGGCAGGATTTGTGTCTGCTAAAAATGGGCCTGTTCCAGCTGCCTGGGCGCTGCCTGCTCGGGAAACCCAAGTCCCGGCGCCCGAGGACGCACAGGCTGTGGGCGGGAAGTGTGGCCTGGCACCCTGGGCGGCAGCAGGAAGCCCCACGGACTGGGCCTCCACCACAGCGGTGCTGAGGGCACAGGGACATGGTCTCTCACACATACGTGTGACACACAGGGACACTGTTGCTCACACATGTGCACCCCTCACTTGAAAGGAGCCTGTGAACTTGGATTTGTGCGTGCAACGAAGCAGATGCCAGTTCTGGGAGAATCCTGCTGGTAACAAGGGAGAGAGCTTTTTTTTTTTTTTAAAGCGTGTGTGTGGGGGCTGGAGCGATAGCACAGCGGGGAGGGCGTTTGCCTTGCACGCGACCGACCCGGGTTCGATTCCCAGCATCCCATATGGTCCCCCGAGCACCGCCAGGGGTAATTCCTGAGTGCAGAGCCAGCAGTTACCCCTGTGCATTGCCAGGTGTGACCCAAAAAGCAAAAAAAAAAAAAAAAAAAAGGTGTGTGTGTGTGTGTGTGCGCGCGCGCGCGCATGCTTGGATTACAGCCAACAGTGCTCAGGGATCACTCCTGGCGGGGTTCAGGGGACCATACAAGGTGTCAGGGAACACACCTGGGCCAGCCAGGTGTCAGGCAAACGCCCTCCCTGCTGTACTGTACGTCCCCAGGCCCCCGGCAGGGGGTTCGGTGGGCAGCTGCAGTGGCGGACTTCACGCCCAGCACGTGTGAGGGTCCCAACTTGGTCCTAGTGGTCCCCGGCAGCGCTGGGCCGGAACAGCTGGCTTGGGGCTGCCAGGCGCGTCCGGGCCAAAGGAAGACCCCATCCCGCGCACGCAAGGCGCCAGCTTTTCCCGACCCCCGCGTGCGGTGGGCTCCTGGCCACGGCCGTACCTGCAGGAGACCGGCGAACTTGACCACGCCCCAGCCAAGCCTGGACACGTCGGGCTCCACCAGGCTCATCTGGTAAATGTCCACGGCCAGGAAACGCTGCACCATGCTGCCATCCTTGGTGATGACCGTGCAGGCGATCAGGTCGCTGTTGTCTGTGGAGAGAGCGTGGCCCTGTCAGACGTGGCAGCGCGCCTCCTGGGGCCGCGTGCTCGGGCCCCCACCCCTGCATCTGACACCAGCCCCCTCGGGCCACGCTGGGCTGCGGCGTGCGCGTGGGTGTGAGTGTGCGTGTGTATATTCGTGGGTGTGTACCCACGTGTAGGTATATGTGTGAGCACATGTGTGTGCTTGCGTGTGTACGTGTGTATGTGTGAGGGTGCGTGCCCGCGCGCGTGGGAACTCCTGTCTCTGTGCTCCGGGATGCGTGTGGGGCAGGAGCAGCCCCTGCACCCCTGGGCCCGATTGGGGTGTGAAGCACTTGACACTCGACCGCAGCGAAACCAAACCCAAGACAAAGGAGGACACAGTGAGGGCCTCGGGCCAGGAAACGGGGCGGCAGGCGGTGGCATAGGAGAGAGAGCATGCGGGTGCCCGGAACACACACCAGAAAGGCAGCCCTTTCTTGGCTTCTGCGTCAGCGTGTCTGCTCAGTGGGTGGCAACCAGCATGGGCGCTCTGGGCCAGCAACACTGGGTAGGGGAGCACTGGGCAGGGAGCACTGGGCAGAGAGCACTGGGCCAAGAGCACAGGACCCCGAGCACAGAACCTGACCAGACGGTGTCGACGGCAGCTGACCCAAACTCCACCCCCACACCTGGTGGTCCCTGAGCACTGCAAGGGGTCGGCCTGGGTAAAGCCGAGTGACCCCCGGTGTGGCAGGGCCTCAGCAGCACCCAAGCCCCACACAGCTACCCACAGGAGGCCCCCGGGGGCCACAGCAGCACCCAAGCCCCACACAGCTACCCACAGGAGGCCCCCGGGGGCCACAGCCAGCAGGGAGCACTGGGGAGCACTCAGGCACTGCTCCTGGCACAGCTCAGGAAGCCACATGTGGCGTTGGGTGGAACCGGGGGCTTGGCCCTCGGAGCCGCCTCTCTGGCCTGCACGGGTGATTTCAAGGAAACGACACAAGCAGGAACCAACTCGAAGGCCTCCTAGAAGGGGGCGCCAGCCCCCCGCCCCGTGGAACGCCAGGGCCCTGTTTCTTTTCTTTTCTTTTTATTTTGCTTTTTGGGTCACACCTGGCGATGCACAGGGGTTCCTCCTGGCTCTGCACTCAGGAGTTACTCCTGGCGGTGCTCAGTGGACCCTATGGGATGCTGGGAATCGAACCCGGGCCGGCCGCGTGCCAGGCAAACGCCCTCCCCGCTGTGCTCTCTCTCCAACCCCAGTCAGAGCCCTGTTTCAATCTCAGCCCTGGGCAAGCTGAGGAGAGCGAACGGCCTGTGGGAGGCGGCGTGTGGAGGGAACCTGACCTCCCGCCCCACCTTCCACCTGCCGCCTGCCCTCAGTGAAGAACCGGCGGGTGGGTGACGGTGCAGGAAATGCTCTGAAATGCATATTAAAAGCCCAAGTCAAAAATCAGACATGCAGACAGACCACTGGGATGGCTCTGGAAAAGGCATTTGAAGTTGACTGGTTGGCTGATTGGTTTCTGAGTCACACCCAGGGGGGCCAGGGGCTCCTCCTGGCTCGGTGCTCAGGGGCTTGTTCCCTGGGGTGAGGCTTTGGGGGTGCCCGTGGGACCTCGGGCTGTAGAACCTGGGTCCTCTGCATGCAAAGCTTCAACTCCAGCCCCCAACTGTGTTTTGGTTTTTTGTTTCTAAAGCAACTTCCTGGGGCTGGAGAGACAGTTCGGAGGGAGGCTAAGCCCCTCGTCATGTGGTCGGCCCACCCACCTGATTCCATCCCTGGAGGGGGCACAGATGCTGGGATGACACTAAAGGCATTGAGTGATAAGTGATTTTTTTTTTTGGAAAGGGGGGCAACCCTGGAGCGATAATACAGCGGGGAGGGCGTTTGCCTTGCACGCGTCCAACCTGGGTTCGATTCCCAGCATCCCATGGGGTCCCTTGAGCACCACCAGGAGTGATTCCTGAGTGCAGAGCCAGGAGGAACCCCCAAGCATCGCCGGGTGTGACCCAAAAAGCTAAAAATAAAGAAAGGGGGATAGTTGGCAAAATGTTTGGGTGTCTTTGGCTCAGGATGAGAACTGGATCTTCCTCTGCCACCAAGTCACATGTCTGGAAAAGACTCCCTTTGTGGGGGCTGGAAAGAGAGCGCGTTGGGTACGGCGCCCGCCTTGCACGCTGACAACCTGGGTTTGATCCACGGCACAACCAGGAGTGATCCCTGAGCACAGACTAAGTCCCGAGCAGTGTGAGATAGGACCCGTTTCCCACCTCCCCTACTTTTTTTCAAATTAAAAAAAAAAAAAGTGATTCCCAGAACAAGTTCACACAGAATCTATAGATCCTTTGTCTAAGTTATTCTTAGAAAAGTGTGCGTGTGTGTGTGCGTGTGTGTACGTGTGTGTGTGTGTGTGTGTGTGTGTGTGTGTGTGTGTGTGTAGGGCAGGAGGAAGTTTCTTTTCTCCAGTTGATATCTGAGACATTTTCCTCAATGAGCAGCTTTTCCGAAACAGAAGACAAAACTCACCCCCTGCCCTGAAGGGTGCTCCCTGCTCCCTGCTCCCTGCTCCCTTCCTCTCCTCATCCCCCTCCTCTTCCCTAAACAAGCCAGGCCGGCCAGCCAGGAGGGGCTCCAGGGCCACCAAGAACAGAACCGGAAGAGCAAAACCCCAAAGAGGAAGCTTTCAGAAACGCGATTGGGACATCAAAGGCCGTGAGAACCGGGCGGATTTCAGAAGAAAACTGAAAGGCAGAGGCTGTGGCCATGGAGACGACCAGCCGCTCGGGGAGGGGGCAGGGCCCCCCACTTTCCAGAAGCGGGGGTGGGCAGTTAGGAGAAGCAGCTAGCCTCGTCCCAGAGCTGCAGTGGGCTACGGCCACTTTCGGGCTCCCTGGACCCGGTCTGGTCCTAGAAAAGTCCCAGCAGGTGGGCAGGGAGGGCCCAGAGGTGCTGGACACAGGGGGCTTCGGGCAAGCGGGCCGGTGGGCTTCCTTGCTGACCCCGGGCAGGTGCCCCCGGGGGGTCCAGGGTCGGACATCAGTCAGTCCCTGCCTGATCTGGGACAGGAGAGACGGGAGGCAGCGCCCCCCCACCCCAGCTACCCCCTCACTGTTGGAGCCCTGGGGCCTGGGTTCGAGAGATGCGGCTGTTTCTGCCCCTCCTCCAACTGGGCATTTCCCGTGGTCCTGCTGTCCTCTCAGCTGGCCCCCGGGTCTCCTGCTGTGCCTCCCCACCTCTGGATGGCCTGGGGCCCCCAGGGGACCTCGTGGCGGGGGGGGGGGGCGGAGGGGGCAAGACAGAGTTTGCAAAGGAGAGGAAGGAACACAAGCAAATAAAACTAAGGGTGATGGACTGGGCCCAGCACAGGGGCACCCTGCTCAGGGCGGAAAGTCAGAGAGGGGGAGGAGGCGGGGAAGGGAGGAGGAGGGGAGGGAAGGGAGGAAGAAGGGAGAGGGAAGAAGAGGGGAGGGGGAGAGGAGAAGAGGGAAGAGGAGGGAGGAGGAGGAGAGAAGGGGAGGGAAGGAGGCGGTTGTATCTGCGAAAAGCTCTGAGCCCAGGACAGATGAGGAGACGGCGCCCGGACTGTGCCCAGGGAGGTGCCCACCGCCCAGGAACCCAGGAAGCAGGCTGCCTCCTACCCCCGGCTGGCAACGCTGCAAAGGTCTGGTGGCATCTAGTGCCAGCAAGAACCAGGAGCTCCGCATTCTCTGGAATGCCAGCAGGAGAATCCGCGGGCATAGAACCCGGGAGGGCCCGTCAGCGCCTAATCAGCCCAGCATTTCCTGTTGCCCTGGAGGGGCAAGCACAGGCCGGGTGGGGGCAAAGGCACAGACACGGCTTAGGCAGGGGGGTGTTGCCTGGACACGAGGGACGAGGGGAGGATGGCACAGGGGTCGGTGCGGCCAGGTGGGCAGCACATGTCTCTGGGGGGGTCCCCCCGGCTCTGCAGACCCCATGCCCACCCGCCGGGCGGGACCTTGCCAGGTGGATGGAGAGGGGGATGCAGCCAGACGTCAGGGCTGGTCAAGGGTTCCACGCACTGAGGCACTGCAGGAAGGGCCCCAGAGCACTGAGCGGGGAGCAGCCCCAGAGCCCCACCAGGTGCGGCCAAACCGAGGACAAGGACGAGGACGTATCAGATTGGACAGAGGCACCATCAGGCGTATCGGAGTCCTGGGAGGACGTCACGGCTTAACGATGATTAAGCTCAGTTCTACCCACCCAGCTCTGTTTTGTGTTTTGGTTTGTTTGTTTGGTGGGGGGTGGGGGGCACGCCCGGCAGTGCTCAGGGCTGACTCCTGGCGGGCTCAGAGGAGCACTATGGGGAGCCGGGTGCCCAGCCAGCACCCTCTCCGCTGTCCCGTCTCTCCTGCCCCGGGATTCACGGTTTATCAAAAGGGAGCACCGACCCCATGGATTCCCACAGCGCCCGGCGGGGCGGCCAGACATGGGCTGGTCCTGCAGGCCCGTGCAGGGGTGAGGAATAATAGCCCTGAAGGACTTGGGAAGGGAGAGGCGGATCCCGCCCCGCGCCCCTGCCTGGCCTGGTGGCCGTGACCAGCGGGGCGGCCCAGCTGCGTTGGCGGAGAGGCGGCTCTCTGCAGCCCGGACTCCCTGGCCTCAAGCCCTGACTCCCGGGGGCGGTGTGTGTGGGGTGTGCTTTCTGCAGAAAGAGCTTCTAGACTTGGGGGCTTCCTGGAAGGCGTGCTGGGCGGCGAGGGGCAGCTCCGAGAGGCCTGGAACTCCCCTCCTTGGCGGCTCCAAGCCCTCCCGTTCCCCAGCGTCCTGCTGACCCTGATGCTGGGGTTGGGGCTCGGGGGTCGGGGTGGGGTGAGGGCACGGCAGAGGTACCAGCGGGCCAGCATGGCCAGCACAGGGCCCAGGTGTGTCCCAGCAGGGCCTGGGAGGTGCCTCAATGTCCAGCACCCCCAAATCCAGCACTCTGGACCCTTGGACCCCAGACCGCCCACTGGCTCCGCCTGGCCCGGTGGCGGTTGAGACCAGCAACTCCAACACCCTA